TTTGAGTCCATAACACTGAATATTTCTCTTAATAGTCTATCTGGATATTGCAATATACATACAGAATTTATCACAGTCTATGATATTAATATTTTACCACTTAGAATCAAGTGCCAAAAACTTGCTTTCATTTATATCCTTTACCTTCTTCACTTTTAAAATATCATCTTAAATATTCCTCTACATACACTGAAAAACAATCAAATGTGATTTTAAAAACTCATGAGAGAAAGATTGTCTGATATACATCCTTATTTTTACTCATTTTATTTTGGAATTCTAGCCTACTTCTTTTATTATTTCCTTTTTGTTTGGGGAACTTCTTTTAGTTATTCTTTAAAGTCAGGTCTCCCAGCAATAAATTCTCTTCATTTTTCTTCATCTGAGAATATCTTTACTTTCTGTTCATTCCTGAAGGATATTTTTATTGGTGATAGAATTCATGATTGACAACTCTTTTCTTTCAGTACACAAAATATGTTATGCCACTTACATCTGGTCTCTATGGTTCCAGAAGAGAACTATGCTGTCATTTACATCAGTATTCCTTTATAAGTAGTGTGTAATTTCTCTCTGGCTGTTTTCAAAATTTTTCCTTTTTCTTTAGATTTTTCACTTTTTGTCTTAAGATCTTTTTTAGACTTTACATTTTAATATGTCTAGTACTAATTTCTTTGAGTTGTTATGTTTGAGATTTACTCGGTATTCTGTAGACCTGTGTCTTTCACAAAATTGGGGAAATTTTTAGCTATTATTTCTTTTTTTAATTTAATTTAATTTTATTTTATTATAGAGATGTGGGGTACAAGTGAAGTCACTATTTCTTTGAATTTTTTTTAGCCTCACGCTCTTTCTAGAACTTCAATGGTATGAATGCTAGGTGTTTTGTTGCTGACCCATAAGTCTCTTGCTCTGTTTATGTTTTCTCAGTTGATTTTCTCTGTTTTTCAGATTAGGTAATTTCTATTGTTCTGTCATTGAGTTCATTGGTTCTTTCCTCTGTCACATTTGTCACATGTATTATACCACGCAGCTCATCTAGTGAGTTTTTTTTTTTTTTTTAATGTGGCTTTTTTATTCCTATAGTTTCCATTTGGTTCTTTCTTTTATATCTTCAACTTTTTTGGTGAGTTCTTTTATTTGTCTTAAGATGATTTGTAATTACTTATTAAAGTATTTTTGCTACAGTTGCTTTTAAATTCTTGTTGAATAATTCCAACACCTATGTCCATCCCAATGCTGTTGGCATCTGTTGATTGTCTCTTCTTGTTCATGGTTGATTTTATCTGTTCTTGGTATGGTGGGTGATTTTCCATGGAATACCAGATGTTTTTGTACAGTGTGTTAGGAGACTCTGGATCTTATTTGAATCTTCTATTTTAGTAGACAGTCATACCGTTTAGGTTAATTGTATAGGTTCTAGACTTCTTTTGCGGGCTGTGGTTACAACGACGCTTTGGTTTTCAGAGCCCTGTCTGTGATTTTCTGGCCTGCTTTGTTCACTTGGTACCACTGATGTTCTTGCTTGCCCTATCCTGGTCCTGCCTGCAGGGCAGAAGGCACTTTCCCATATTGCCTAATACTACTAGGTGGGAAGTGGTATATGTCAGGCCCACAGGGCAGGCGCCACTTCTCTGGTTCTGCTCACCAGGCAGCCCAGTGATGGAGCAAGGACAGAGGAACTCCTGCTCTATGTTCATGAGTGTTATGGCAGGAGAGGAGAACACCTACCAAAGTGACCTTCTGCCCCTGGGAGATGGCAGACTAGAAATTGTGTGTAGTCTTTTTTCTCTGTTGGAATCTTTTATGGAATTGAAACATCATCATTTTTATTTCCCTCTGGAGCCATGTATTCATGGTGAGTCAGACAACAGAGCTGTCAAATTTCGGAAACCTGCTTTCCTAAAATCTTTGCCCAGACTCACCATGGTTTACTCCAGGGACTCTCACTCTTATTTACCAGAGGATCTTTTTATTCTTTCATCTCAAACAGTTCTATCTCATTGGTCAAAGTTGATCCAGAATAGCTGTTTTCTTCGTAGTTTCTTCTACCCTCTAAAAGACGAAATGACTGATGGTAAAGACTTCATCAGATCTTCCACTTGGCACAGAGTGAGCTAGATATGCCTGTGGGCTCAAAGTTCCCGTTCTCTAAAATACTTTTCCACTATGCCAGGTGGTAACTCTGAACTTAAAAAACATTCTGGGCTTAGATGATCATCCATGAACTATTCCCACAGTGCTACCGTATTTCGTGTCTTCTCACTTTATCTTTATTCAAAGTCTTTGACCATGCTCCTATCATCTGGTTTTAGAAGAGCTATACTTTCAATGCTTGGCCACATCCCCACCTGCAAGCTCTGTAATGCCTGTATATCTGAAGCACGGTTTGCCTTTCTAACCAACCACATACTACGTTTCATCAAATTTAGTGCTGTCTATTTAACACCCCTTGTGTTAAATGTGAGACCTCCCTCATCTGTTACCATCCTCACCATGATGGTTGCACAGACACGAGAGGCCCTGAGCTGCGTTCCTGATGTTCTTTCAAAACTTCCAAACTGGCAGTGTTCAACTCTGCACATGTTCAGCCTCTCATTTATTCATCCGTTCGGTCATCATCTTCCTGGCACATATGGAGAGCTGAAGACCTTGTGAGTGCTGGAATACAGCCCTAGAAGTTTCCAGGACATTTGAGGAGACTGAGACATAAATGGACAGGTAATCAGTGCCACAGCAGAGGGAAACGGAGTGAGGTGGGGGAGCAGAGGGGGTTCCACCCAGTCCAGGGGAGCGAGAGAAGTTATCCCACAGCAGGAAACTCTCGACTGCGCTCTCAGGGGATGAGGAGAAATTAGCCATATGGAAGCGAGAGGGAGAACATTGTATTCAGGGGACATACATTGCCCCAAGTCACAGGGCGTAGCCATTTGTCCTCTGGTCTGGCCCTAGATCAGGTGTGGAGCTATCTGGAAGGGCACCCACAGGTGAGCCAAGGGGGCCCCAGGTGTCAGGTGTAGAGTTGTTAGCTGAGAAAAGTGATCAGCCACTGAAGAACTGTCTGGGGCAGGAAGTGACTTGGCCAGGTTGTATGTTGGGGATCTCACTCAGGCTGCTGTTTGAACTTGGATTCTAGGGACACACTCTATACTAGACTGAACATAACCAAGTGCCACTAGCTAAAAACCAACCCACCAACAAAACCACTCCTCTCGGTGTTGCCAGAGCTATGCCTAGACCAGTGTGGACTGGGGTGATGCTCAAGCCAGGGCACCTTGCTGCAGGTGACTGGAAGACATGTCAGGTCCCCAACGTGACGGAAAACACATCTTTCAGAGCAGTCAGGTGAAAACCTACCTTCACCTACCAAAAGAAGAAACAATGTTCATCATCACCCTCCCACCTCCCTCCCTTAGGCTGCTCACTTGTGATCCCTCTCCCCTTCAGATCCACCACAGTGGCCCATTTCAACTGGAATTCTCCAGGGGCAGCGGTTCAGTGCAGACTAGTGAGGCAAACTCAGGCCTTAGAATTAGACAGGCAAAAAATTAGCCAGGTGCGGTATCGCATGCCTGTAGTTCTGGGTACCTGGAAGGCTGAGGCGGAAGGATCGCCAGAGCCCAGCAGGTCGACGTTGAGGTGGCTGTGAGCCTGCCACTGTGCTCCAGCCTGGGCGACAGAGTGAGGCTCTGAGTCAAAAAAAGAATTAGACAGGCCGGCAGTCATGTGCCCACTGTGTCACCTTAGCTTCTCTGTACCCCAACTCCCTCCTCTGCAGAAGGGGATGACCACACCTACCTTGCAGGGTTGCTGCAAAAATCAGAGATGATGTTGATAAATGCCTGGTGCAGAATAGGAGCTCAATTAATGTGAACATCTATTAACTGCTCCCACGTAATTAGGGTCCTCTGCAGGCCAGGACCCTCCTTTCACTACCCCTAAACCAAACAGACAGGCAGCTGACATAAGCCTGGAGTCAGGACCTCCAGGAAAGACTTACGGCAGCCTCTTTTGTAATGCCGTGACTGGAAACAGTTTACCAGGAGGGAAATATTTGCACGAACTGTGGTTTTTTTCTTGAAGGAATATTAGGCAGCTATTAAAAAGAGCACTTACAGCTTTCTCTATAAAGAAAACTAGAGGAATGTCCATAGAAATTATTCATTGCAAAAAATAATGTGCAGTATAATATGTACTATGATGTCATTTTTGTAAGATTAAAAACAAATCAAGACTGATTAAGACTATATGGGTCTTTTGGATTCCACAGGAAGGAGGGATGGGAGGAAGAACATGTCTTAGCATGCTAATAGAGATTCCCTCAGCCAGTGAAGACCTGGAAGTGGGGAGGGAGGAGGGTGAAGGAAGAGGATGAACCCTTGTCATACCCTCTATATTGTTTGATAAACAGTATCAAGCATGTTTTACTTTTATCATTTAAAAATCTAGAGAAAAAGGAAACACAGACCTGGACATGAATTTCAGATCTGCATCTTATAACCTAATACGGTTATAAGGTTATTGTTCAACTCCTCCAAGTTGTATTTGTAAGATGGAAACAATCCTCTTCCTCCTTCCAGAGTTTTGACACTTGAACATATTAATTCATTCCATAAACACAGATTGAGAACCCAATATGGGCCAGGCATCATGCTGGGGTTTCAATAGTGACCAGGGTTGATGTAATACCTCAAAGGCTCAGGGACTGCTGATTCGTTTTATTTTATTTTATTTTATTTTATTTTATTTTGTGACATGACATGACATGTTTGTTTGCCTGACCATGCAAATGAGTGGCCAACAGTAAGATTTCTTGCTTTATGGCAAGAAGAAGGATCAGAGGAAGATTTTGAGGTCATGAACTTTTGTGGTCTTTCCCACGTGATCTCCTAAGGAGTTCCCTGTTCATGTGGAGGGGCCCTGACATAAGGGACCAGCTGGGCCTCTCTGCTCTGTGCCCTCTCCTGTAGTGAGTGCCTGCTCTCTGGCTTGTATTTCAGATCCAAAACCCAAGAAGAGAAGTATGGTGAACTGTTCCATAGCTATGGTGGTCATCTACCTGATTCTGCTCACTGTGGGTGCTGGGCTGCTGGTGGTCCAAGGTAAGGTAGGCTCGGTTCTCTGTGGTCCCTTCTGGGGTGACTGAACTGGGGCCCGATGATGCAGGGATCCAGTTGAGTGGAGGGCCTGGGGTCACTGCTCTCACCTGCTAGGAGAGAGTCCTTGGCCCCTTACAGTCCCAGTGAGCGAGGAGTAGAGAGAGAAGTGTATGTTATGTGTATGTGTGTGAAACACATGTCATGTACAACTTAAGGTCCCTCATGAATGCCACTTGCACACATTTAGGTCACACCAGCATATCAGTCATACTGTATTCACACTAGACTACACAGGAAGGTCTAAACATGAAGGCTGATGATTGGTTTTGGATACAGTGGGCACAGGGTTAGGCCTTGCATGAATGTTCTACGAACACATAATGTCATGCCTGAGCATGGAGTACATGTGATCAAGGTGTAGAAAAATCTCTGTGCTCACACTCAGTTCTGATGGCACATGGGGTTTGCGTTTACAAATTCTGGGCTCACAGAAACAAGAATGTCAGAGTTATGCTCAGATGCCTCGGACTTTCGTGAGGTCTCTGAAGATGGTGTGTGGGTGGGGTCCAGTTCTGAATCTGCAGGAGCGACTCCGGGACCTGGAGATGTACTTCCCCAATGACACGCTGGCCGTGCAGGACAGCCCATCCTTCTCCTTGCTGCAGTCGGAGCACCCTGGGACACACCGGGCTTGGGGCTCATCGGGGCTGAAAGCCTTGCAGGCCCAGCTCAACCGGGTCTGTGTCAGCCAGGAGTATCTGCAGCAGTGGGTGGACAACTTCACTCGGAACCCAGGTTTGGCTTCTGCCCCTGTGAGCTGGGACTCATCAGAGGAGGACGGGGATGCTGATTGTTCATGGGACAGAGCTTGAATTCCCTTCCCCAGCAAGGAGGGTTTCTAGAAGTCTGGCCTGCTCTGGGACTCTGGGGGGCAGGTAGGGAGTATGACCAGATGGCGTGGACATGAAGCCACAGATCCCCCGGGAGGCTACAGACAGCGCTCTGGGAGATGACGAGTTCAGGAACCAAGAGCCCCATCCATGCAAAGTGAGACTTCCAAGAACCAGGGACTGGGGCAACCAACCCAAGGCCAGTTCTGACTCACAAAGTCCCTCGATGGATTCAGAATGTCTAGGAGGGAGGATACGACGCAGAACCCAGGACCACTTCCCTGCAGCCAACTTGCATTGGCCTGCAGTTAGGGAGAAAGCATTTGAGGGCACCAAACTCATCTAGACAATGTAGGGACCATGGAGGGGAGAGGACAGCCAGACCTGATAGGGAAAATCTGATGGCTTGGGTGATAGGGCTGCAGGCAGGAGAAAATGGGGCCAATGGTGGAAACGCGAGGGGTTCCCCTTTCCTCGGTGCTCTCAGAGACTTGTGGCTACACCCACTATTCCCTCAAGCTGCACAAGTAGGGGAAGCGTTTTGCCCTAAGCCAGCCTGGGCAAAACCGGCTCTTAGGTGTGACCTGGCTGTCATAGGGTTAACCCTGTGACATGAACCTCTGACCCAAGCAAGGCTCGTGAACTCACCCTGGCCCCTGTGTCCAGGGTAAGCTGGGGCTTAGGAAGATGATCTGATGGCTGGGTCTTGCAACAAAGGGGGTACATCCTACACTGGGGCCAGGAAGGAAAATCTCTCCAGAGGCTGTGGCCACCCCCGTGAGCAAAGGTGAAGACTGAGGAGAGGCCATAGCTGTGGGTAGATAGATAGAGTCCAGGCTCAGACACTCTGTGGCTCCCAGGAATCTACAGCTCTCAGGGTGCAGTCCACTAGTTACAGCTAAACAATTGGCTCTTTCCAAAGACTCTTTTCTGAAAAATACCCAAGTATTTGGCTCCCTTTGTCCAAAGACCCCAACTCTGACCATAACCTCTCCTCACGGGGGGCAAGCCCAGCATTCCTTGGAGCTCTCAGGGCAGGGGAAGGGCAAAGCCGAGGTGCCCCTACAACTCAGCCTATAGCCCACTCTCCTTCCCTTGCAGAGCTATTCGGAATCAAAAGTGAACAAGGCGCCCCAGGTAGGTTTGTTTCCACTCTGACCCATCCTGCCCTCTCTCAAAACCCTCTCCCAAGGGCCATGGCCTGGGCCATTCTGGGACTTGACATCTGACACATGCTTAGCTTCCACTGCCTCCCCTGCAAACTCACTGATCCTTATTTGGGTCTCCCCTCTGTCCTCTGCCCTTGCTTGGACTCTTAGACCCTGAGCTCTTACCCTATTCTTTGCCTAGAATGATACCCCCTCCACTGTACCCATCCATCTTCCTAGGCCAGAGCAGGTGGCAACCCAGCTACAAGCACAAGCCTCTTTCCTTATCTCCCATAAGCACTCTTTCCAGGTAACTCTTAACTGTCACTTAGCACTCATTACCTGGGGGTGCTATGATCATCTTTCTTGGAGAGCTCAAATGATGGATGGGAGGGCAGTTAACATCATGGAGGAACAGGCTGTATGGTCAGGCTGACCTGAGTTCTAGGCCTAGGTCTGATGCTTACTAGCTGGGGAGGTAACTTTGAGCCAGTTACAGTAAGTCTCCTACATACGAACCTTCAAGTTGCAAACTTTCAACGATGTGAATGTGCATGCCCAATCATATGTTAGTTCATGTGTCTGGCATACATTGTGCATCCTCTCCAAGTGGTTGTGCTTTTGTGTACTTTACAGTACTGTAAAGAGTACAATAGTACAGTATCTTTATTTCAAGTCCATGATGTCCAGAGCAAGGGTAAAATCAGCAGTGATATAGCCGGTACCGTATAGTTGATTGTGTCAGTTGGGAATCTAGGCTAACTTTGTCGAACTTGTGAAAAAACTGTACTTCCAAACATGCTCTCAGAATAGAAGTCATTTGTATGTAGGGGTCTAACTGTACTTAATTTTTCTGGAGTCTCAGCTGCTTGCCTGTTTAGGCGACAATGGTGATAACTTGACTCACCCCGCAGGGTTACTGTAAGCCTCAAGTGAGATGATGTGCAAAAAGATGTCTGACAATAGCACGTGCTTTTGGGACAAGGCCTGTGGTTTGTTTGCCTTTTCTTCCTCCACCCACGTGTGTGTTGTGCTGCACACAGGCATACACACTTCACTCACAGCCCTGTTCCATTCCATCAGCTGAGTGGTTGAAATTTCCCCTGAAGATAAACACGCATGCCATTCTTGGGTCAGAATCCTTTGGCTTCATGATTTCACAAGGATGTCCTGGATCACATCACTGGCCCAGGGAGAGTTTTGAGGCAGCCTTGCACAGTAGTGGGGAATGGACTTGGATGACTGGCAGACCTCGGGAAAAACCCTAGACCTGTCCCTGTCGACCGGGTAGCCTTGAGCAAATCATTTAACATTTCTGAACTCTGTGTCTTCCCCTATAAGATGGGAATATTGACAGGACCTAGATAAGTACAAGGCACTTTCCTCTGCTTTGCAAACTCCTCACACTACCCCCAAGCACCTGTTGCCATGATCCCCATTTCACAGATGAGGAAACTGAGGCTCAGAGATACATTCATTGACTTGCTCAAGATGATACAGGCAGGTTTGGTGAAGCCAAGAAGACTCCTGAGCCTGAACCCCATCCCGGCCCCGGGGGCCAGGCCACCACAGTGCACCGGGGACAGCTTGTACCACCTTGCCTGAGAGACAGTCTGGGAGAACCACACTGATGGGCACAGGATCCTAGGGGTTTGCCCTGAAAAGTCCCTCTGAGGGCCTGTGCTCATCCTGTCAGGATGTGGGGTACTTTCCCTGGAAATGCCAGGGTAGAAGCTTCCCACCTTGATCCACCAGGAGGAGGGCCAGCTCTGTAAAGAAGGGGGCTTATCTCCTGTGCCTGTGGGGTCCTGAGGTTCTTGCCTCTTCCCTTTGGCTAACAGGATAGCAAGATCCCCTTTCTTTCTTTCTTTTCTTTCTTTCTTTCTTTTTTATAGATGTAACTTTTTAACAGCTACAAGAAAAGATTGACAGGTTTGATCACTTAGAAACTAAAACAAAATTAATGGATATGGAAATATATTTGCAATACATATGATCAATAAATACTTAATATCCCTAACAGACAAGAGCACCTACAAATTGATAGAGAAAAAGAAATTATCTAAAATAAAAAAAGGCAAAAGCAAGGACCAGGCAGTTCAAAGAAGAAGATATATAAGTAGCCCATAAGTATATGAAAACTTGTTCAACTTCACTGGCAAGGAACTTCTTTGTTTCCTTCTTTCCTTTCATTCTTTCCCTCTCCCTCCCTTCCCTTTCTTTCCTTCTTTCTTTCCTTCTTTCTTTCCTTCCTTCCCTCCCTCCCTCTTTCTTTCTTTCTTTCTTTCTTTCTTTCTTTCTTTCTTTCTTTCTTTCTTTCTTTCTTTCTTTCACCCTTTCTTTATTTCAAGAGCCTCTTTCGCTGGGTTTCTCCCGTGTCCCATAACCTCATTTAGTCCTGAGGACCTTGGAGGGTGGGTGTTGCTATTGTCATGTACAAATAGGGAAAGTGGGGCAAGGTCAAGGGAAGTCCTATATTCTGGTCACCAAGCTGGGCTGTGGGAGCCCGCTGTCAAACTCTGAGCCAGTTCTCGCTCCTGAAAATCATCTAACAGGACTCCACACTAAAGGGTGAGATTCTAGTCCCCAGTTCTGATTCCATCCTTCTGGGCTTCGGTCTTGTATCATCGGTCTTGTATCATAAAATGCTAGGATGCTGTAGGTGCTGGGGCTGGATTCTACTGAAACAGGAAGTGCCTCAGGGATTCCTCTGTCCTGGGGTCTTGACAGGGGAGCTTTGCCCTTGGGAGACTGGAATCTGTCAGCCCCTTTCTAAATGCGTGGGCTCAAGCAAGACCCGGGCTTCTGGGAAGTCACTCCCCTCCTCTAGGAAACAAGGACGGAAAACTCTGTCCTGCCCACTGGGGCTGTTATGCCACTCGAGTGAGTCCCCCTGTTCATAGTGGTATTTGGAAGTGGTGGAAGATCATGTGTGTTGCAGAAATAATAGCCTCCGTTTATCCAGAGCTTGCCTCTTGTGTTTTCCATGACGAGGCTCTGCATGGTGACCTCCGGACAGCCCTGTGTCACTAGTTCACTGACCCCATTTTATAGATGAAGGAGCTGAGGCTCAAAATGATAACGCAATTTACACAAGCTCACCTAACTAAAGGGACAGTGCTAATCCTTGAACCCCGGTCTGTCTGACTCAGCGTCTCTCATTTTTATTTCTTGCTTTCCAGGCCATGAGCTTCTTGCAAGAGGAGCTCTGTCTTCTTTCCCTCTTTCCACAAAGTTGGCTCATCCTTGGTGCTCAGTGAATGTTTGTTGAATGAATAACTATGTGAGTTAGTGTTGTGTTGCCCCACGCTGTTGGCTGACTCTTTGGTATCTCTGCTCCTCTTCCTCAGGTCTTCCAGGTCAAAGAGAGGTCCCAGGTATGCCTAGCACCTGTTGAGAAGGGAGTCAAGGGGGTTGTAGGATGCGACGGAGCCACAAGTTCTGGGCCCTGTCTCCTGGCTCCAGAATCTTTCTTCTTCTCCTTTTCCAGGCTTCACTCTGCATTCTCTTTCCCTTCCAGGACCCCCAGGACCTCGGGGCCCACCAGGAATCAAGGGAGAGGCAGGTGAGTAGGCACTGGGTGTGTGCACAGGATACATGACCTTTCTCAGAGTGATTGCCTCAGGCTACCGACGCAGCCCCACTCCAGTGTCTGGACACCCAGAGGATCTGAAAGTGAGAGAAGGTTTTCCTGGTGTGAGGCCCCAGGTGGACTGGGAGGCTGTGGAGTGCCCCACCTGGTTGTGGGGGCAGTGCCGGACAGCAGTCCTCAGAGAGAGTCACAGCCAGAGACACCTCAGCCTGGCAGGGCACCTGGGTGTGGCTCCAGGCCCCTCCTCTATGCAGGAGCCCAGGCCTGCGAGCTCCCTTGGGGAGGTCAGGCTTTTTGGTCCACTGGGGACCAAAGAGTCTGACACATCCGCCTCCATCATGGACTAGCTCTGCACCCTTGGGACACTCCTTTACTTTTCTGAGCCTCAGAAAAGTTTCTTCGTCAGGGATGAGAGTGCTGCAGAGTGTTGCTAGTGGGATTAGAGACAGTGATTCAAAGTCTATGATTTTTGCTGAGAAAGTATATTAATTTCCATGTTTTAGGCTGATTCTGCCCAGCCGTCTTAAAAACTGGCTCCCACTGCCCAGCCAGAGAGTGGGAGACCCAGTGCCATCCCTCCTGGGGAAAGACCCAAACAGCAAAGTCCACCACTCAGTTCTGCTCTGTCCATTCTCCTCTTAGACTCTCAACTTCCAGATTCCCAGAGGGGCTGAGGCTGCTTGAGATATACAGATGCAAAGACAGTAAGACCTTTGCTAGACAAAGAGCAGATGAGAGGATTTGCAAGGAAGGGTGAGTTGGCAAAGCAAGCCTCTAAGCGTCCAGGCCACTGAGGCAGAAAGAAAACACCGCCAGTTACAGGGGGGAAACTTGTTAGGAGGGAGAATCTTCTTCCAGAAACTGATTTGGGGAAGGGATTTCGTAGAAGGGATCCCAGAGAGCCTATTTTTTTAAGTGTCTAGCAGGGGCTTTTCTGAGGAGGTTTTAAGGGTATGGGAGTAGGAAGACAATACAGAAGATTTAGGGAGCAGTGAAAGACACAAGCACACATGCCCATCACACACCCACATGTTCGCACACACACAGAAGCACGAGCACACTCATGACACACATGTGCTCACATATGAGAAGGAACCCCCCAAAATGGAGTTTGTTTATTTATAAAAAATTGTGTGGCTGGGCTCGGTGGCTATAATCCCAGCCCTTTGGGAGGACAAGCCGAGTGGATTGCCTGAGCCCGTGGGTTCGAGATCAGCCCAGGCAACTTGACAAGACCTCGTCTCTACAATAAAACAAAAAATTAGCCAGATGTGGTAGCACGCACCTGTAGTTCTGGCTACTTGGAAGGCTGAGGTGGAAGGATCGCCAGAGCCCAGCAGGTCAATGCTAGGGTGGCCGTGAGTGTGCCACTGCACTCCAGCCTGGGCAACCAAGTGAGACTCTAACTCAGAAAAAAAAATTGTGTTTATTCTTACATGTTTACACTTTAGTCACCTTCAAAGTACTCTTCGTTTGATGCAATACACTTATCAAGATGCATTTTCCACTGCTCAAAACAGTTTGCAAACTCTTCGATTTTGATGTTTCTTAGTGCTTCTGCCTTTTTTGTTTCACCTCTTCCACATTGGCAAAATGTTTCCCGTTGGGGACTTTCTTTATCTAAAGGGAAAAAAACAAGACAAAAAAGGCATTCAGGGCAGGACTGGGTGAATAGGCAGGGTGGCGGCATGAGGGTCATGCCTGGTTTGGTCAAAAACTGCTGAATACTCAGCTTGGTGCTGTCAGGTGTGCTCACAAATCACCCACCATGAAATGGGCAAACACCTTGAAAGAATCTCCAAAAAACAAAAATTCACTGAAGCCTAACACAGCCTCTCACAACGTCGCTAGCTGGTATAATGATGCTGAAGGGTTCCTAGAACACTTACCTAGTGGGGGAGTCTGTGCTACAAGGGGTTACCCTCCAAAAGATAATCCCTGGGTTTTAGGGTCCCCCTTGTACACCATACAGTCTCACACACTGATGTTTAAGCACACATTTGTGCATATGCCTGCATTCTCACATTCATACAAGCATGAATGCACTCCTATACACACATGCACTCACATACACCCTATACTCACACACTCACACACCCTCCTGTGTGAGCACACATCTGTGCATAGACACATTCTCACACTCACATTAGAACAGTCACACTTGTGCACGTGGATGCATACACTCACACACAAAGGCTCACACGCACGCACATACATCGACACGTCCCGTATACAAACACCCACACACATTCACCTTCAGCCTGTGGGGGCTTGAAGTCAGGCCGGCTGACTCAGAGGCCAGTGGGTCTCCCTACCTCTTCTTTTCTCTGAGGGAAAGGGACTTGGTTGGGTCCCCGGGACTCTCCAGAGTAGAGTCACTGAAGCCTGCTTGAAAGGACAAGCCAGAAGCCCAAGGACCTCAGTCATGCCCTTCGAGAGGAAATGATACCAGAGTCCGCCCTTCTCTGTCGGGCTCTAACACCATGCACATCACCCCAACTCTGACAGAGGGCTCAGAGTAGGACTGTGCAATCTTATTAAAAGCCAGGGGACCCTTTCTTCAGCCTGAATCCTCCGTGGAATCCACATACATCCAATAGATCCACAAGCAGGCTGCAGTGGTTTCACAGGTACTGTGTGTCCCAGAATCCACCTGGCACCACTGACATCTCCAGGAAAAGCTCTTACAATTCAGCAGCTCACTCAGGGCCTTTCTATATATCCCCTCCATCTGTCCCCTTTCTCCCTCCCCTCCTCTCCCACTCTTCCTGGTGGATTATTCATTTCCCGTCATACTCTCACCCTCCCATTCCTCTGAGGGGTCCTCCCTCCCTCCCTCCTTCCCCTGGAACCATCATCGCTCAATTCTATTTTTTTTTTTTTCCTTAGAGCATTTAGTTATGCATCGTCTGAGGACCAGGTGGTCATTCTACCTGCCCCATTTTACAGATGAGAAAATTGAGGTGCAAAATACTTAAGTGATTTATCCAAACTCATCCAGCCTGTCAAGTGGCAGAGCTACAATTCAAACAGACGTGCCTGCCTTTCTGGCACTGCCTCAGGAGACACATCCCTAGGCACTCTTCCACCCTTTGGGAAGAAAACTGTCTCCGTCTGTTTTGTGTTGTGCAAGAGAATGCCTGAGACTGGGGAACTGACACAGAAAAGAGTCCAATTTAGCTCACAGTTCTGTAGACCGGGAAGTTCAAGATTGGGTGACTGACTCTGGCGGTTTCTGGTAAGGGCCTTGTGCTGTGACACAACATGGTGAAGACATGGAACTTACTTGAATGGTAACTTAACAGCTCTTGCAAGAGTGAGAACCCCCTCCCTTCCCCCCTCCCTCCCTCCGATGGCATTAATCTCTTCATGAGGAATCTGACCCCATGCCCCAGACACCTCCCATAAGCCCTACCTCCCAACACTGGTGCATTGAGGAGCAGACTTGCAAACCATGAACTTTTAAGAAAAATACAAACCATAGCAAGAGTAAATATTGCTTGGAGCCATCAGAGACTCTGTCATATAATCCATGCATGTGTGTGTGTGTGTGTGTGTGTGTGTGTGTGTGTGTGTGTGTGTGAAAGAGAGAGAGAGAGAGAGAGAGAGAAAGAGAATTCTCTCTCCGGTGTGCACCTCGCCCATCTCAGGGGCTCTAGAATGTCATATGATGAGCCCAGGCCACAGCAACTGAGCTCTTCTTTCCGTCTTTGCAGGCCTTCAAGGACCTCAGGGTGCACCAGGGAAGCAAGGAGCCACTGGTAACTTGTACTTGCTCTGCTTGGGATCCATGATGCATTGCCTGAGGCACTGAAGCAGCTGCCTCCTCAACCCCTCTCTGCAGCCCACCCCAGCCCCAGAGGACTGCTGCCCCCTCTACAGTTCTCTTCTCTTGAGTCTTATGATACCTCATGCGGGCCACCCAAGAGATGAGCTGACACATCACCAGACTTCCTCTGGGCACCCCTTTCCTTTCTCTGCCAAATGCTCCCTGCCCCTTTACTTCATAGCCTGTCCCCAGGAAGACGGTGGGAGCCCATCCTACTGGCCATTCTCTTTGCAGGCTTCCCAGGACCCCAAGGAGAGAAGGGCAGCAAAGGCAATGGGGGGCTTGTTGGCCTGAAAGGAGAAGCTGGAGTGAAGGGAGACAAAGGAGACCAGGGCTTGCCAGGTGAGGGCTATATTGGGGGTGTCAGTGCCCATCAGGGCATCCTAGAGAGCCAGACTCTGCAACCGGGTCTCTTCGGGGCAGGGTTGTACTCTGCCTGTGGACACCCTTTACTGCTCCTATTTATTTTCCATTTACTTCTAGTTTGTGGTCTCTTCTTTCCAGGTGAGCAAAGGGATTCAATGTGAGAGGGAAAATAATGCCATTCCAAGCAAAACTTTGGCAAGTGGGGCAGAGGCAGTGCGAGGGGCGCTATGTCTGCCACACTGCAAACACCCAATAAACAAGAGAGGAAGGCAAGGGTCTTGGGAGGCAGGACAGGCTGAATCAGAGAGTAGGGCAAGGGCGTTGATTCCAAGAGAGGGACCCCAGGTGGCTGGAATCCTCCACCGATAGAGGGCGCTGTCTCTAGAGCAGTAGTCCTCAAGTCACAGTCATGTACATTTGAATGCATGGCCATATGAGCAAGCAACCACTTGGGTGCTTGCTCACAATGTAGGAAGGGCTCAAGGTCTGTTTTCCATGCCCCGGATGATTCTGACCTTGAAGATCCAGGCGCCACACTTAGAGAAACACTGGCCCGGGGCTCTGGACATACCAAAGCACCACATGTTTCCCACCTCTCAGCCCCCTGAAGCCCACGGGGGGAGGCTTTGTGGTGCCATCGGGGGAGTGAGGGCTGGGAGGCCAAGCAGCTTGGTTCCCGTCCCCGCGCTGCACCTGTTCACCAGTGAGCCTAGCACATGACTTCACCCTCTTCAGCTTTTATTTCCACATTTCAGAAAAGAATAGTAATGAAATTATTATACATTAAATTATACTTACCTTGCAGAACAGTTATAAGGGTTAGAGGTCATGTTTTCCAACTGTCTGCCACATAGAACTAAATGAATAATACGTATTATAATTATTATTATTTTTGAGTTGGAGTCTCACTCTGTCGCCCAGACTGGAGTGCAGTGGCCGCTCCCGGCCACCGCAGCCTCGACCTGCTGAGCTCCGGCAATCCTTCCACCTCAGCCTTCCAAGGAGCTGGAACTACAGGCTCGCGCTATCACACCCGGCTAATTTTTTTTTTTTTATAGAGATGAGGTCTCGCCAAGTTGCCCAGGCGGGTCTCGAACCCTCAGGCTCTGGCAATCCACTCATCTCAGTCTCCCAAAGTGCGAGATTATAGGCTGAGCCACCGAGCCCGGCTATAATTATTATTAATAGTTATCCTGTAAGGTATAAAAAGAAGGACTTCGGTTCCAAGATCAGTCAGACCTGGGTTCTGCTATGACTTACTAGCTGTGCAACCTTGGGCAAATGACTTACCCTCTCTGAGCCTCAATTTAGTCACCTAGAAAAGAGAGATGATAATAATATTGACCTTTAATGAGCATTCATTACAACAGGAATATGAGACACAAAGGGTGTGTAGCGCATACCTGGTACATAGGAATTATTTACATTATAACAAAACGGAAATGCTTGCTCTCAAAAAGGGAGCCCTTAGGGACATGTCAGCCATTTCAAATCTTTGAATGGCACTTGCAGGAGAGAAAATTGACTTGCTCTGGGTGGTGTCCAGCAGAAAAATGAAGACCTGAAGGCCAATTGTGCTGAGGCAAGGGAGAAAGAATAATTCAGAATTTGGGACTGACCAGCGATGAAACAGGCGAGGGGGGTCTTAGTGGGCAGCTGAATGCTGGAAGAGACAGAAGAGTTCCAGAATTCTCCTTCTGGGACCGAAACGGGGAGCTTTGCACCAGGCAGATGGTTGGACGGTTGGCTTCCGAGGATCGTTTCAAAGCTGGCACTCCACAGTTCCCTCTGCAGATGATAAAGGGAGACCCAGACTTTCTCATGGTGACCCCAGCCGCTCCAGAGAAGGGTCTGCATCCAGGCCTCTGCTGGTGGAGTCTGAGGCGTGCTGGTTCCCCTCCCACGCTCACACACAGCCCCATAGAATAACATCGAGTCCATACCAGACTCACGCTGCTGTGGGCAAGGGGGGAGACAGCAGTTTCAGTTCTTCAGAAATCAGGACAGCAGCCCACCCTTCCTCTTCCCAGATTTCCTCTCCCGAAGTTACGAGATCACTCTTACTCGCTGCTTGCTCAATCTACCGCCAGTGAATGGGGCTGTGCAAGCCGAGTGAGACTGAGGTTTTACTTATACCCCTCACCCCAGCAGATGGGAACGCCACCGTTGTGAGGCTCCAGGGGACATGCCTACCTTCCTCTCTCTGCCAATTAGCTATGACTGGAAAGTTCTGGAGTCAGAAGCCGCCGTGCTTCCTTGCTTGGTTGCTTGGAGCCAGAGTCTGGTCCTCTCGCGGATGTGATACTGCCCTGCTTCCTGGTGCTGTCCCCTCTGCTGGGGACGTGGAAGTTAAGGCGATGCAGGTGCAGACCCTGACCATTCCGAAGCAATCCTGGAGGGCCCGGCAACCGCCGTGACTCGATGGTCCTGGCCCCCGCCAGCAACAGCCCCCGACAAATTCCCCCAGGGAAACAATTCCCGGTGCCTTGTAACAAGTGCCTTTGGACCCTTCTCCAAAGTGGACACCCTGGATGGCCGAAAACAGGCTTCTCTGCTGTTTGAACCTTTGGCTGTTGCAAGAGATCTCAGCTATGACCTCAATGCTTTACAGTTGTTTTGCCTTCCTCAAGGAATAGTCATGCTTCAAGTGTCCAACCGTCTCAAAGAGTCTAACTCATGAGCCTTGCACCTAGCTTCACCCAACATCTAGACCCAGAAAGTTTCCCATCTTCCTCTTCTCTTCAGAGCATTCTGTCCCAATACGCTGGAGAGAAGACCAGTATCATGCCCGAGTCCTCCCCAGCTTCAATCTTACCAAAGTCACAGAATGAAGCAATACATGCTTTTTAACAAAATTCCATCCCAACAAGCCTATCTGGGGGCCTAAAAGATTGCTTTGAGGTAAGATATTCCTCTTGAGACCTTCACCTCTTTGGGCACTCACCTCCTACCGTAGATGGTGGGACTTCAGTGGTTTCCTTAGGACCAGGTCCCGGAGAGGTCACTGAGGAACAAGCCCCACATGGCGTGCCTGGTAAGCCCGTGCAACCCACCCCGTCCACACTCGCAGCTTGGGAAGAAGTCCCAGAGCCCTGCCCCTGGGAGGAGCCTCCTTCAATTGATATGCACCGAGCACCACAGGGAAGGAGGAGGCAGCGACGGAGGACTCAGGAGAGGACAATCTGGGATGAGTCCCGAATGCTGATGACAAGTGGAAAATTTGAAATCTTGGATACCAGGAAAGCCTGTGTCTGAACGTCCAGCAGGCACGTGAGCTGCTGCAGTGTTTTTGTCTCTATCGATGCCTCCAAGTTGCTATTCTCAGTATTCAAGATCTGCTTTCTGGAACATTAGGGTTTCTGTTTGAGAGGTCTTAAAAAATAATTTCCAAAATGCAGACACTAAAATGAGTCAGACAGTGCCGGTTGAGCCTAGGTCATGATCTCTCCTGAGGGGACCAGGGCTTTCCCTGGTTGCCCGTGCCAGGTCACCTTGCCAACTTTTCATGAGTTTAAGTCTTGTCTCTGGGGCCAAGCGGTGTGCTCCTTGAGGGCAGTGAGCACATCCTCTACTTCTGGGCACCAAACACAAGCTCAAGGAGTTTTGGGTGTGAAATTCCTATGGGACAGGAAGTGACTGAGTACAACCTGGTGGCTGAGTTCACCCTCCCCCCACGCCTAACCGCATATCCTTGGTTTTTCAGGAAGCAAAGGGGACGTGGGCATGAAAGGAGATACAGGGGTCATGGGGCCCCCTGGAGCCCAGGGGAGGAAAGGTGATCCTGGGAAACCAGGCCCTCCAGGTAAGAGGCCACGAGGTCGCGTCCATTGACTTGTAAGCATTCCTTTTTTTTCTGATAGGCAGAGCCAAAGGGGGGAAAGATTCTTAAAAGTCCTTCATTCTAGGTTTAGCTGGTGTTCCAGGAGCCAGAGGAGATCAAGGTAAGCATTGTGGAATCTGGGCATCATCCCGGTTACCACTGTCCCTGGGCAGAGTTAAGTTGGGGACCAGATTCCACTACTTTTTAATTCACTATAACATTAACCCAGATCACCTGGGGTCCTGAAAAACCTGGTCCCTTCCAAGGGGCAAGGCTTAACTGACATCCTTCTTCAGTCCTTCACCCCACTTCCCCATTCAGGGTGTGGAGTTGGGATATTTGTTCCCAAAGTTTCTAGTAAGGCCCCATGTCCCAAACCCTGCAGCAGTGAGTAGAACTGGCTAATAATTAGCTAAGACTCATTTTCCTCCTACAAATGGACTAGTTCATGGCTTCTAAAGAGAGATGGTGAAGGCTGCCCAGGGACTATAGGGTGTTGAAAGGGACATGTCTCACTGCTGAGAACAGAGGTGGGATGGGGGCAGTCAGACCCTCTGCCAGCTACCCCAGCCTTGAAGTCACCACTTACCTTTCAGGACAACCTGGAGTGCAGGGTGATCCAGGCCCTCCTGGTGCAGTGGGACACCCAGGTGCCAAGGGTGAGCCTGGCAGTGCTGGCTCTCCCGGGCTGAAAGGTGAGGTACTGGGTCCTGCCTGGGCATGGGCAGCGATGTCTGAAGATCCGGCTAGCCCAGCCCTCATAACTTCTGTGGGATCTGTTGTCCAGGTTCCCCAGGAGGTCCCGGGAGTCCAGGAGCCATGGGCCTGAAAGGAAGCAAGGGAGACTCAGGTAACAGAGGGTATGGGTAGGTGGGTGAGTGGGATTTCTAGGTGGCTGGATATACCAAAGAAGGACTGGGCCCAGGTCCCTGGGGCTCCTTGATTAATGAGGGTAGTTTACCCTGTCAGGACCCCTTGAGCCAAGGGTCTAGAGATTTTTTTTTCTTTGTTCTGCATTTCTGAAATGCTTTGAATGCCATGACCAAACTTTCAGATCAAGGAGGAGAGCAAAGCACTTCTTCCATACCTTCTCCCTGTCTGCCTTTCAGCTATGTGAGTAATTTCCATTCCCTCCCACTGACCGTCAGTGGGATGCCCAGGGTCAGGACTCTGGATTTGGGCTGAAGGGTCAAGAAAAAAAAAGTTCTTACGTATTCTCTTTGGTGGGAAGGCTGAAAGCACCAGCCCACATTAACCAAATTCAGAAACTGGTTTATAAATCAACTTAGTTAGGTCGTATGCTGTGATATCAACTCCGACTAGGTTATAACCCATTGTATTAATATAGCCACTTTATAAACCACAGTGCTAGTTTTTCTAGTCACTAAGTAAGTTCGGGCACCTACAGGGTACTCAACTGGTCTAGAAAGTCCAGGCCACTGTATTGGGTGCTAAACCCCCAGGGTGCACAAAACCCAGTTCCTGAGCTCAGACTCACAGGGAAGCGCCAGACACTGAGAGCCTGTGGGCAGACGGTGCAGGCATACTCGGATTGGACATTTGTGTGGAAACCTGCCACATGCCACTTGGAAAGCCGGGGCAGGCAGGAGGTGCTGTGGGAGCCCAGGGTTGTAACCCAGGGCTGCGTGTCTGCCGGGGATGTCGAGGGACAGTCCGCCTCTGTCCCCTCTTCTGCCTGAGCAGAAGGTCATGTTTGTGTCAGACAACCTGGACACCCCCATCCCTGGCCATGCCATAGGTCCACAGCCTGGTGTGGGTCTTCACAGTTCTATTGATCGATTCATTCATTCATCACCACTTCCTGGCAAGTCTTGGACTCCAGGCCTGTGAGCTTTGGGGTTTTCCTGAAGGTTGTCAGGAGTTATGGAAAAGGCAGCTTCTACATCCTCTCTGTCCTTCTAAACTAGCCTCAGAGCCGTTTAATTTTTCACATATTGTGTATTGGTGTGGGTGGGGCCTTGCTACCTGATCCCAGGTAGATGCCACCTGAAGGCCACTAGCAAGGTTTCATCCTGGAAAAAGTTCTATATGGGCATAGTGGTCAGGTCTCCCTGACTTGATGGCTGTCCTTTCTGATCGTATAAGTCCCTCTACTCTGGGCTCTGACCTCAGGATCCATATAACTTTGGCATCTGAAGCTCTCTTGACTCTGAGTCTTCTGCTTGACTTTACAGAGATGAGTGCTTCATCCCTTGGTTAGAAATAGCAGTCCCCCTCACCCCACACCCCCACTGCCAGACTAGTGGTTCTTTGAAAGAAAAGCAAGAGTACTGGAGATAAAACTTGAGTGTACCCACAAGAGCACTGTGTCCACTCCCCTAGTCCCAGCTGGTTCCTTCCACAGTCTGAGAGTAATGAACCTTGCCTTGCACTCTGTACCCTGGGAAGGTTTGCATAACAAGAGAAGCTCTGCTAATGAGCATTTCGTGACAACCCAGTGGGATAAACACTCTTGTTAGTGCTATTTTGCAGTGAGTTGCCCAAAGTCAGACAGCCAGTAAGAGACGCAGCTAGAGTTCAAACCTAGGCTTGACCCAAAGCTTGGGGTCATATTTACCGCACTCTATCATGGGTTCTTTCTCCCCAGCAATCCTTGTCATGGTACTCTGCTGAGTGACATCTTCTCCCTTCACTCCAGTCCAGAAAGGATCAGAGCAGAAGGTAGCAGTTTCTTCTACTCTTAGGAGGAAACTGGAAAGTCCCAGACCCTGTAATGGTTATTTACCCAAGACTCTGCACTCTGTGCTGTTTTAGCACAGAGACCCCTGGCTCATAATCTGGGGGTCATTTTAATTCCTTAGTCATGGAGACCTTGTATATCTGTTGAGCACCTTATGGGGTTCTCTATTAATCGAGTCCAGTGTTGAATACCAGCCAGTCTAATTTTAGGGGTTACCCCTTAATTCTGGCCACTCAAGTAAATGTGATGAATTAGATTTTTACATTTGGGACATGTGATCATTACTATTTATGTAAAACGACATGGGTTGCTCACACAAGTTCAAATGCTTGCCATGATCCAGTAGCTGATGGGCCACAAGGACATCTCTGAGGGGAATTCCGAAAGAGCCATAATCTAATCTAGCCAGCTCTGTGTATTGTCCTGGAGTCAGAAGCTAATTAACTTCTAGAGAAATTAGAGCTGACAATTTCTGAAGTGGGAGAAGGAAGGTTGGGGGGTGGGTGGGGACCAGATCTTCCCATCATAGAGGACAATGGATACTTGTCAATGTCAGGATGTTGGTATTCCCCAAACTGAAGCTACTATAATAGTTGTCCAGTTTTGATATATCAAGCCAGGTTTTCAAATTGATGCATTTCCCATTTTGTAAATAAAATCATCAATCTCTCAAGAGACTATCTAGCCACTTCAAATGAAGACAGAAAAATTGCAGTGTGTTGGCTTACCCTAAGTGACAGCTAATTTCATTACTGTGTATTCATTATTTTAAAAATGGGAGATCTGTTTATTTTCACCTGTGCCTATGGGCCAGACACTATGCTTGGGGCTTGGCTCCCACAACCTTAGTTTATCTTCCCACACACCTAAGCTTTATTATTCCTACTTTATAGTCAAGGAGGCAGAGGCTCAGGGAGGGTAAACATTTTGTGGTCTCATGGGTAGTATACACTGAATCTGGGAGTTAATCTCAAAGTCTGATTCCAAAGTTGTGCTTTTTCAGATTGTGTCATCTAGAAGAACACAGAGTGTATGATTCACCCTTATCCTTTACCATCCCCCACCTCCCACCCCTATAATAGACAGGTAAGTCCTGACTGGGTCACCAAGCCCTCTTATTTCCAGTTGACCTCATTTAGATGGAATGAGTCCCCTTGTTTGCATGAGGAATGCAGTCTTCACATATTAAGAGAGGCTGGGAGAGGGGTGAGGGTTGAGGAATTACCTATTGGGTACAAAGTACACAGTTCAGGTGATGAGTACACTAAAAGCCTAGACTTCTCCACTAGGCAGTGCATGCATGTAAGAAATCTAAATATACAAAAATTTTTTAAAAATTAAAGGAAAAAAAGAAAATAATTTTTAAAAAAAAGATAAAGAGGCTATCCCTCCCATTGTGCTGGGAAGATCATCTCCACATTTCATCCAGTTAGACATTTAACTCCACAGAACCTTCTCTAAGGGTAATTTTCTCACCTGTTGGAAACAGGCTTCTTTTGTTCAACAGGTATCACTTAGTTTTTCTAACATTTTTTTTTTCTTTCAAAGCTTGCAAAAGAACAACTGCATTTTAGCACTACTTCCCTTAACTACTGTTCCCAATGTTTGTTTGGAAATAAAGAAGGATCACATCAGTTGGTGATCATGACTTTCCTTTTTTTTTTAAACCAGTTCACTTCATGAAATGATGTTAGAAACAAACAAAATAGTTCAACTCTAAGACACCAATCTGATCAGAGATTCTTTCTCTCAATGTCCTTTATGTCTAAGCTATAATAATTTGAATTGTCTATGTCCTTTTATCTTCCTCTTGGAGCAAAACCAAAGTGCAAATAAATTGAAATCTATTTTCTTATCTGTAACTGAAGACGTTTTACTTTAAAGATAAGCAACAAAGATAATCCACAATAACAGTGAAGTTCCATAACAGTGAAGTCCCATATCATGAATATAATTTCTCAGTTATTTCCATTCCCAATATCTAAGTACTGAGGTCACCCAGGAATTTGGTAAATTCCACCAAGTCAGATAACTAAATCATCATTTTCAAAACTCTTCCTCAGCTGGGTGGGTGCGATGACTCATGCCTATAATGCCAGCACTTTGGGACGCCAAGGCGGGAGGATTGTTTGAGCCCAGTCATTTGAGAACAGCCTGGGCATTATAGTGAGATCTCATCTCTACAAAAATAAAATAAAAACATTAGCCAGGTGTGGTAACACACACCTGTAGTCTCAGCTACTCAAGAGACTAAAGTAGGAAGATCACTTGAGCACAGGAGTTTGAGGCTGCAGTGAACTATGATTGTGCCACCACACTTCAGCCTGAACAACAGAACAAGACCCTGTCTTCAAAAGAAAAACATATACTCTTCCTCATTTTCCTCTAAGTTTCTTATAAACCTTGTGGAAGTCTGCATACATCCCAATTTTGAGTCCCTTCTCCTCCATCTTCTTGGAGTCAGTTATTAGATTAATCTTAAATTTGCCAGGCTGTTCCTAGCCTGTAGGTTGGGGTGGTATTGAAGGAGTTTCCTAATTTATTGGAAATTTATATATTTAAGTCAGACACAGGAGACCTGAGCCAGAACTCAGACTTGCCACCGACTAGCTGGGTGACCATGAGCCAGTACCTGCCTCTGCTGAGCCGTGGCTCTCTCTTCTGTGGCATGTGAGCTGAGTGAAAGAAAATCCAGGTCTCTGACAGCTTGGCAGCTCTCCAGGTCTAAAATAAGCAATTTCCCCTCAGAGCAGGAACAATCTAAGATTTTGGTCAGAACAACTCAATGCAAAACAATAGGAAAGCATGTGCTTTCTAAATGAACAAATTATTTTGTTGGGGGAAAATTATTTCCGCAAAAACATCTTGCAAGTACATTTTTTGGCCCTCTCAGCTTGCTAAGTTTGTAATACCGAGGGAAAAACTTTGCGGGTGGTTAAGAAGAAAAACCCAGTATCCATTTGCTCCCCAATGTAGTTTTACAACATGCAGGTCTCGATCTTATTTTTCAGCCATTTCTCCCTCTAAGGTGCAGGAGCTGATCCAATCGGAACGCTGTCTTGATTTATAGTGAAGTAATTTCTAGTCCCTTCATCGATTAGTCAATGCACAGCCACTCAACCAGCATCATTTTAGGATCCAGTGAGACTTGGAGAGAATTCACACAAACCTCAAATCTAATTTCTTCCTCATGAAGAGGGAAATTTTGAAGGCAAACCCGACACCCTTTAAACACATATCAAAAGGTGTTTCATCAAGGCCAACCTCTGTCATGTGAGCTGTGATTCTAGGAAAGCTCAGATGTGGGAGGGGGCTGTGAGTTCCCACAGAGACAGGAAGGCTGCTTGGAGGAGGTGGGCTGTGAGCTGGTCCCTGAAGAAAATGAGTTTTTTTTAGGGTAGTGCTCCTCAAAGTGTGATCCCTGAGCCAAAAGCATCAGCATCCCCTGGGAACTTGTTGGAAATGCGGGTTCTCAGAATCCACCCCAGTCCCAGTGAATCAGCAACTCAAAGGAGGGCCTGGCAAGTTGTTCTTCCACAAGTCAAGTCCCACCTAGGCGATTCTGATGCACCCTCTAGTTTGGCTACTCCTTTTTTAGAAAAAAGAGATGACCCAACGGAGACTGGAGATGTCTTTGAGGTCAAGTGGACAGCCCAAGTGAAACACCAGGGAGGAGTGAGCCTGGCAGGCTGATGGCACAAAGAAGCCCACAGGGCACAGTGGGACACCAAGCCTGGCTTCCCCATCCACGCCAGTGTGTCCTTGGATAACTCACCTGGCATCTCAGACTGTGAATTGCCTCTTCTGCAGAGGAGGGAAATTGCCCTGCCTTGCAGGGTGGCTGAAAGATGGAGTGAGGTAGTATATGAAGATCTCTGGCACAGAAAATGTTGAGTCCCCGGGATGGGCAGGCTCAGGGCCATGGGCTTGGTAAGCAGGGTCTTGCCTAGGTTTTCCGTCTTCTCTAGAGGGTGCTTATCGTTCTGTGCTTTAGGGGACTTTGAAAAGGTGCACCTGTTTGGGTGGTAACGATAAAAGGAGGTTACAGTGTCCCACGGTTCCTGAATCTTGCTTCTAGGGACAGGATCTTAAGGTAGAAATTTCTGCAACATTAGACCCTCTAGGATACAGACAGAGATGGCCAAGAGGCTAGATCACCACCACAGACATATTTCTGAGTGTGGTCTTCTCCCCTGCCAGCTTGACATGCTATTCAGATGCAAGTCAGCAGAAAGGAGAAACTTCTACTGCTTCTTCTAGGTAATCTTGACTAAGCTTCTTCAGGTCGGGAGCAAACATTTACCAGGAGTTTGCTGACCAGCCGGCCCAGAGCTCATGCAGGAGCTCTGCACGAGTGTCCACGATGCTTCCTACCTGGCAGGAAGACAGACATGTGCAAACAGGGTTCACGGGGTCCCTGTGGCACTATTTATTCGGCATGGTCAGTCATGGGCTCAGCACTGGATGGGCACACAGGACTTTATTTCAGTCTCACAAGTGCCTTAAGAGGCAACAAGGAGGAAACTGAGGCTCAGAGCAGGGACACCTGGCCCAAGGTCACAAAACCAGTAGAAGACAGAGGTAGACTCAAGCCCGGGCTGTGTGATTCTAAAGCCGCTTTGCTCTACTGCCTGGGGAGAAAGGACATCATCCACTGGGCAAAGCCAGAGGTGATGTCATCTGACATCACAGTCAGCGACATCTGACTTCTTTGCAGGGTTTATAGGTTAAATCCGAGCTCTTTAAGTGGACCAATGGGGTAAGGCTTTCTAATCAGAGGGACCAGTGCATGCGCAAATGGCCCTGGGTAAGTTGGGGCCTGTTTGCCAGGGCCTGACCTCTAAGGCACCTCCAACTCTTAGAAGAACCTGACCAGCCTCAGGTCTGTCCCCATCCTGAAAATGAAAAACAGAAATGGTTATCCTCTCAGAATCTTCCAGTGTTTCCAGCTTCTCTTTTCACTCTGACCTGCGGTAGCAGCTGCAGGTACTTGGCTCTCTGACCCTCCTCCCCAGGTGGCACCAAGCCCCAGAGGTGTCATCTGAATTGTGGCCAGGAGTTAAGAATGTTTTTGCTCACTAATTCTAAGAAGGGGCCCTGAAGAGGTCAGCCCGGGCCCTTGTCTCACCCTCCACTAATCAGTGCACTGTAGATGCTCAGGAAATCCAGGGATTGGAGTGGGAGGCAGGGGCAGGTCAGGTAGGAATGTCCCCCAGGCAACTGTAATGAGGATGACTGAGCTCCCTGAAGTTTCCAGTAATTATTAAAACAGTGGTATGGCCGGGTGCGGTGGCTCACACCTGTAATCCTAGCACTTTGGGAGGCCAAAATGGAAGGATCGCTTGAGCCCAAGAGCTTGAGATCAGCCTGGGCAACATAGCAAGATCCTGTCTCTACAAAAATATAAAAAGTAATTGGGCGTGGTGGCACATGCCTATAATCCCAGCATTTTGGAAGGCTGAGGTGAGGAGAATCGCTTGAGCCCAGCAGTTTGAGGCTGCAATGAGCTATGATCGTGCCATTGCACTCCAGCTTGGACAATAGAGACCCTGTCCCTGGCCAGGCGTGCTGGCTCATGTCTGTAATCCTAGCACTTTGGGAGATCCAGGTGGGAGGATTGCTTGAGGCTAGGAGTTCGAGGCCAGTCTAAACAACACTTTACAAAAAAATCAAAGATTTAGCCAGGCATGGTGGCATGTGCCTGTAGTCCCAGCTACTTGGGATGCTGAGGTGGCAGGATAGCCTGAACCCAGGAGGTTGAGGCTGTAGTGAGCTGTGATCGTGCCGCTGCACTCCAGCCTGGGTGACAGAGGAAGACTCCGACTCCAAAAAAAAAAGGTGGATCTTTGGTCAAGGTCGGCCTTGTGTTTGAGGAGGGAAACTCGTCAAGGTCTTGGACATGAGCTATTTACATTCCCCTCGTTACCTTCTAACAACTGTTACTTGATGGTCAATAATGAGCTTGCATTTTTCCAAGTGTGTGTAACTGTCTCGGGGAGTCCTATTTCCCTGAAACAAAATCAATATTGTCACTTAAAGTTGAGAGACCACGATGTTGCTAAAGCAACAAATTATTATCCCACAGTGACCCAGCAGGGTGCTGCGGACAGTGGGTCTTCCATGAAAGTTTACTGAATAAAGGGATGAATAGGAGTGTGCTTTTGTGTGCCTGTAGTCCCAGCTACTCGGAGGCTGAGGAAGGAGGATTGCTTGAGCCCAGTGAAGCCTGGACAATGTAGTGAGTCCCTCATTGGGGACGAGTGGGTGGAAAGAAGGAAATAAAGAAGGAAGGGAGGGTCATCACCAATGATTGCAGTTATCATTATGCCATTTTCTGGACATGAGCTCCTTTATCCACACTGGGGGCCACAAAGAAACAAACCAACAAATACTTACAGGGCACCTACTGTGGGTGAGGACCCCAAAGCTCCCGGTGGCCACTGGGTCTCCTCCACAGTCTTTTGGAAATCATAATAACTCTATTTTCAAAATATCAATCAATATTCTCTTCCAATAAAATGTAACAGCAAGGAATGGGGTTGGATTTAGATACCAAGTCAGGCTACCGGTGGACAAGGAAGGGCAACCGAGCCTGGGATCTGTCTAACCTGCCTTTTATCCGGCACGTGTCTGCTTTCCCCCAACTCATCCACGTCCATCCATCTGCAGACTGTCTCCCTTTATGCTCTGCTGAAGAGGCTTTAAACAATTGTGGAGAACCAATGTATCTTTCTGTCTGTATTCATCAGACAAAAGGTAGAGGTTGTCTAAGATTAAAAGTGTCTAATATCTAGGTTTTATTATCTCCTCCCCCCCTTTTTTTGTTTTGATCTTAGGACTTCAAGGACAGAAGGGAACAAAAGGAGAATCAGGAGTTCCAGGTAAAGGGCCAGCTTCATTTTAATCTTTCAGCCTGATGACAGGAGGACTGCCTGCTCGGAGGGCAGGGCGTGTTGACTTTGAACACACAGCCGTGGTGACCTTCCCCCAGAGTTGAGGCTAAGATTCCCGGGCCCTGTCACTCCAACCTCGCATTTCTCCCCAGGAAAACCTGGAGAATGATGGGAGCTCAGCATCTCAGGGTTGTAGGGTGTGGGGGCTGGGGGCTCAGGATGGCAAAGGTTGAAAGCATCAGGGGAATCGGCGCAGGTGGGGTTTCCAGGCTGTGTAGCTACCATGGAGCTGGGCACCTTCCTCTCCCACCTGGGGAGGGCACGCCTCATCTCTGCTGTGGCCCACTTACCTCTTGGCCTCCAGCCCCTGCTCTCGGCCTCCGCTGCCTCTCACTAGGCTTTCTCATTGTCTGTCTTGCCTCCAAAGTTCTGCATACAGTCACCCCCTAAGCCCTGCATACAGTCAGCCCCAGAGTTCTGCATACAGTTGCCCGTGCATACAGTTGACTACTGAGCTCTCTCCCCAACAGCCCTGCCAGGGGAGCCCTAAAGCAAAGTTTCAGAGACACATGTCTTGAACAACTCAGTCTACCTCACAGTCAGAGGTTTTATTGCTATTTTAATGTGCTAACTGGAGACATTGAGGCTAAGAAACATTCCAGCAAATTCTCCCAGAATGGCTAGCCCTTCCACACAGTTATGAAGGACCGACAATTGGAGTCCCATCAGCTATGTCCACCTGTGTGCCCTCAACAGCATTTATGTGGGAGTCAGGCAATCGGAGCAACCCCCAGTTGGATCAAAGGCAGAACATTCCCTTGGCCTATTCACAGGGGAGACCTGGTAGTTTGGGACAGCTCATTTATTGAGTGCAAAGGCCCTTGGGTCCCCCTGGGAAAGCAGAACTGGTCATCTGACGGGGTGATCCTCCTTCTCTCAGGCCCTGCAGGCATGAAGGGAGAACAGGGGAGCCCCGGGCTGGCAGGCCCCAAGGGAGCGCCTGGACCAGCTGGCCAAAAGGGAGACCCAGGAGGGCCAGGTAAGGCCTCTGTTTCTGGTTTGTGGGTTCTTAAGAGAGATCCTATTTTGAGAGGTTCGGGGTAGGGTAGGGATTTATTTATTCGGTCGACAAGCCTTGTGCTGGGCATCGTCCTGGGCGTCGAGGGTCCAGCAGCGAACAAGGCACAGCACAGCCTCTGGGAGGCAGATGTGTGAACCTACATGTAGCCATGGGCATCCATGCTCCAACCCCCAGAGAGTTCCCATGAAGGAGATGCTCCCATCCCATTCCATGTCTCTGACCTGTCAAAAGTCCCTCACCAGTCTAGCTGCTGTAGCCCTTTCTGCTGTAGCTCAGGCCTATTTCCTGGTGCTCCACTGGTTCCCAGGGCAATTCTGTCCTTGTGAGGCCAGGTTACAGGCAAGGCCAAGCGGAGAGTCTGACAGCCTCCCCGCCCCCTTCACCCGTTGCCCCCTCCCTGGCCAATGAGGGCGAGGGCGTCCTGGCTGGGTTTCCTTCACATGATGTGGTTCTTCTCACAACAGGATCTTCTGGGCAGCAAGGAGAAAAGGGACAAAAAGGTGAAAGAGGTCATCGCTATTTCTATTCTCTTTAGTCTGTGCTTTCGAGTCAATTTTGTAGATGAAAATTGTGTATGTGCTGGGGAAAGACCTTGGTTCTCAGACAAGTTTCTCATTTTTGGGAAAAGTTGATGGACCCATCAGCTTTTATAAGCCACCCATGGCACACAGGAAGAGTGCCCCAGTTTCCTTCTCTCCCTCTCTTCAACCCTCCCCTCCCTCCTTCTTTCCTCTGTCCTTCCATTCTTTCCTCCCTTCCTTTCTTCAACCTTTCTTTTATTCCCTCTGCAGCACATGACAAGGTGTGGTCTGTGGAATTTGCAAACAAGCCACAGAGGCCTCTGCTCCTATGGCCTGACGCCTGCAGGTCTAGATGCATGGAGGCTGCCTGCCAGGTTGCATTGGTGCAGTCAAGTGACACCAGGCTTCTTCCAGGTTCCAGTGACAGCCAAATTGGGGACGCCTTTTCTACAACTATAGAACTTCCAAAAATGAAAAAGAAGAGCCTGCATTTACAGAAAGCCCTGGGTGCTTTCCTTGCCTCTCTCATGTGTGTTTTTTCTCAGGTGAAACCCTAATGCACGTCAGGATTAATGGCGGTGGCTATCGAGGCCGGGCTGAAATTTACTATAACAGAACCTGGGGGACAATTTGCGATGACAGCTGGGACAATGCCGATGCCACCGTCTTCTGCCGCATGCTGGGTTATTCCAGGGGAAAGGCCCTGCATGGAGTGGGAGCTGGTAAGTGAATCATCAGCCAGAGGCCTCTACCCCAGAAGTGTGAAGATGGCTCTCTCTCACTGGTGGAGAGTTCATACTCTTTGGTTGCCAGTGAGTGAGTTGGTTTGGGTTAAAAGAAAAGTGTTGGTTCAAGCCATTGAAAAGTCCTTCAGCTCAGGGATCCAGGATTGCATCCTTCCACCTTGACATCCCCAGCAGGAAGGTCGCCCGTCTGCTCCAACAGCAACAGGGAAGGCTTGACCAGGGCTCTGACTGGGCTGGCTTGGGTCAGTGTCTGTCCAGCCCTGGAGTCAGAATGCAACATGGCCAAGGGTGTCTGTGGGGGGTGGCTCTCCGGGGGGACGGCTGAGTTGCTGGAACTGGAGCGAAGACACAAGGCAGGGGACACAGATGTTCTCTCCACTGTCGGAACCAGCAGCTTGGATTGTCTAGCAGTCTTGGCTGTGATCAGCCTTAAAGGGAAGGTGAGAAGGAAAGAGAAAATGAATGGAGGCGTGACTTACTAAAATCAGTTTGGAGACAATGCCCTGGATGCTAAAGACTCAGCCCATGTCTTTCAGCCAAAAGTTCAAACTTTGAGCAAAGGAGTTAAGTCTCTGAGCTGAGCCCTTTCTTCCTAAGAGCTGACCCAGCAGAGTTTCTCTTGCTCCCCACCCCGAATGTTCTTTGTCTCTATCCCACCCCTGCTTTTTATTTTTTATTTTGAATTTCTTTTTTCATGAAGATGAGATCTCACTAAATTGCCCAGGCTGGTCTTGAACTCTTGGCCTCAAGTGATCCTCGCGCTTCAGCCTCCCAAAGTTCTGGGATTGCAGGCATAAGCCACAAACCTGGCAAATACCTGCTTTTTAATCTGAAAATTGGACTGTGATGCTCTTCTAAAATGCACCTTTTCTTTGTGCAGAATAAGCCTCTATAGATGAAGTCATGTTGTCATATAAATGTCTGCAATCAAATAATCCAACTATTTGTAATTCTGTCCGAAGGAAGGAGGTTTGGGAGAGGTGGCTTGCTTTAGAGTAGATTAAAGAGGGCTGTGAGGAGGGTGGGTGCAGAAGTAGTGAACTAGAAGGGAAGAGGCCAAACGCTGGGACATACCCCGGGAGGAGATTTCAAATCACGCGTGTATTAAGTATCAAATAATTGCATGACACTTTTGTCGAAGGGTAGAGAACAGAACAGAGACGGAGTCTTTATGAAAGACCAGACTAGCCATTAGCACATGGACCTGATTGGATGTGGGAGAATTTGGCAGCCTGCTCCAGATAGGAGCTCCCAGCCATGAATGTGCCTGCTTTGCTTTGGTTCTAATTCTCCTCTCCTTCTCTCCCCCATCTCCCAATCAAGGCACTGGGGAGATCTGGCTGGATGATGTTGAATGTCAAGGGTCAGAAAGCACCCTGTGGAGCTGCAGGAAGAATAACTGGGGCTCTCACAACTGCGGCCACAGCGAAGACGCAGGCGTGGAGTGCAGGTGACCTGGAAGCTCTTCCTCGGCTCTGCTCGCAAGACATCCTCTGGGTTATACGTGAGGAGGCAGAGGCTCTCTGAGGGCCTCCCTGAGCAGCCTCTGGAGAGGTGTCATTAATAAAGCTCAAATCACTACCTGGTAACCTCATTGTCTGTGGCTAGCATCACTGCATTGCACCTCCCACCCCTACCAATGTGCCACTCAGCACAGCCAATGCTCCCTCGAATTCTCCTAAGCCCGGGATGGTAGAGTTTCAATGTACAGCCTGGGGGAGGGTGGGATGAGGGTTGAGTTCAGAAGGTGAATGTCGCCTGTCGTCAAAACTAGTCTTGACCACTTCGTCAATCCTTCAGACATAGCATCTCTCATGGAGATGCCCACCATGTCTTGGGCTGCATTGTCGGTGAAGAGGTTGGTTTGCAGAGGTTGGTACCATCTTGCACGATAAATAGGAATTGTGCCTTTAAGCTTAAAAATTAGTTCATATTAGGATATGAGTTTCACAAATGCAGGGACCTTTGTCTGTTTGATCTACTCCTGTAGGTGCTCAGGAAATATTGGTTGAATGAATGACTGAATTAAACCAAGAATGTGGCAGAGCTTACTGTCTCTGAGAGACCTGGCTCCCCTCTTTCTTGTCAGTGTTTGCCTGAGATATATACTCTCTGAGTGGAATCACATGACTTCTCTCTCTCTCTCTCTCTCTCACTCTCTCTCACCCCCCCCCCACCGCCACCCTGCCGCCCCACCCCGGGTTGTGTAAATGGTTCATGGTTCAGTTGAATGTTGAATCTGGGAAAGTGAGATGCATATGTGGTGGGACTCCATGGTGCCACCATTCCCTCTTGACTGGTAAAGGAGCTCACCCTTAGAACATTAGGGAAACTGCACAGACCTATCTGTAAACAGCAGAGCCAAGGTTAGAACCCACAGAGGAGCAGATGGAAGGGCTAGAGATGAAGTGGCCAGAGTTTCCGGCCACTTCTCAGCCCACTGGCACAGAGTGGGAAAGCACCTCCCATAGAATACCTTGGGATTCTTTCCCTTGAAACTTCATTCAACCACCCAGAACCCAACACACACTTCCAGAGGCAGCAATCAGGAGCAAGTGTCAGAATTGCAGGGAACTGAAGGGCTCTGGCCCTTGAGGGAAAGGGAGTTTCCTTTAGCAGAAGTCACTATAATGGTGTACTTTTTTCTGGCTTGTGGAATGAGGGAATGGTCGCACAGAGAGGAAGAAGGATATTTTAAGCCATATTTAAATGGTTCTGGGATTATTATATATTTGCAAGTGTGTAGCTAATGCATCTTATCAGCAGCCCCTTCCTCCTTAAATCTTGTTGCTTATTTCCAATCTTCCAAGAAGTTTGGTTCTTTCTTTCTTTCTTTCTTTCTTCCTTTCTTTCTTTCTTTCCTTCTTTCTCTCTTTCTTCCTTTCTTCCTTTCTTCCTTTCTTTCTTTCTTCCCTCCCAAGGGAAGGAAAGGGCAGGAACTGTCCGAAACAAAGATTTTGTCTCCCTATCTCAATCTCAAAGTTGACTTCCCGAACCTCTTTCGGAAGACAAGAACTAGAAAAGAGAGTAGAAAGGCAGGAACAATTTTCTAAGATTTTTTCACTTGACTTATCAAAGCCAAGCCTGACTGACTTGATTCTCGCAGTTTCAAATAAAGGAGGTCTGAGCTGAGCAAACAGGAAGGGCATGGAGGGATGGTGGGAAAGGGAAGTGAGGAGGCAGGAACAGAGTGGAGGGTCCTTCCTGGCAGCCCCAGGCCCAGCTCTGTCACCCTCATTTCTGATCCCAGGACCTGCCTTCTCAGCAGGGGGCTCTGGTTCCTGCCTGGGGAAACCCCTTCCTTCATCTCTAGGGAGGCTGACTCACCCAAGAACACCGGCCCACATGAATCCACCATAGTGCCTCCTAGGGGACTTCATTCTTGCAGCTGTTGGCTACGAGCTGCCGGACCCCACACTGAATTACAGGCTCAAGCCGTGGCGTTTTCGTGGTTTCTTCTTCACTAACTCTTTTACTCAGCAAATGTTTATTGAGTCTCAGTTTTGTGCCAGGCACTGTACTAAGCTTTGGAAATAAGTAGAAAGTTAATATAGACATGGTGTCTGTCTTTATTGAACTTGCAGAGTAGTGCGGAAGCTACATTCATCAGATAATTAAAAATAAATATAAACAAATAAAAGTGGTAACTGCTATGAAGGAGAGACAAACAGCACGTTGAGAGCATATGATAGAAGAGTTGACTTGGTCAGAGGAGATCAGAGAAGGAAGGGTAGGAGTTAACTAGATGAAGAGAGTGGGAGAAACTCTCCCAGGCATAGAAGACGTCATGTGCAAAGTTCCTGTGGTAGGAGGAATAGGGCAAGCAATGAGGGACCAAAGAATGGCTTGTGTGGCTGAAGCTGTGATGTGAGGTAAGCACAAAGGGAAGCTAGACTGGTTTCCTGGATATGCTGGGGCCACATCATGCAGTGTCTTATAACACTTAGAGATGTTTCATCTTAATCCTAAGAGCAAGGGAAAAACACCACAGTAAGGGGAACAGGATAATATGTTAAGAAGTATAGACCAGCTGGACTCGGTGACTCAACCTGTAATCCCGTGCCTTTGGGAGGCCAAGGTGAGTGAATTGCCTGAGCCCCCAGGTTCAAGAACAGCTCAGGCAGCAAGACCTCATCTCTACAATAAATAAAAAAATCAGCCGGGTGTGGTAGCGCATGCCTGTAATTCCGGCTACTCGGAAGGCTGAGGTGGAAGGATCGCCAGGGCCCAGCAGGTCGAGGCTGCGGTGGCCGGGAGCGGCCACTGCACTCCAGTCTGGGCAACAGCTAAAAAAAAAGAAAGAAAAAAAAAAGAAGAAGTATAGATCATGACGGCGGGTCCTTCCAGAAGGTATACCTCCTCATCTCTTCTCCAAGATATGCTGTTCTCTCCCTCTCTCCCTCCCACACACACATAGACACACCCATCTTCCCACCAGAACAAACAACAGTTTTCAGGCACAGAAGAGTCGTGTGCCAAGCCTGAGTCAGCCGACCCATCACTGTGGTGAAGCTCCCAGACAGACGGGCTCAGGCACACCCAACACTCGCTTCCTCGGCCTCTGTCTTCGTCTCTGAGCTGGTGACTTTCCAGCCCACACTTCCAGCACAGGCCTCTGTCCTGACCTCCCGTCACATATGCCCAACTGTCCACCAACGGTCTCCACACAGAACCCGATTTATTGTGTTAAGACAAAACGTAAGACAAATGGAATTGAACAGAGTTTAACTAAGCAAAGGACGATTTGCGAATTGGATAGCCTTCCGAAACAGAGCAGTCTCGGAGGGACTCCAGGGCAGCCACGTGATGGAAGAAAACTTACGAACAGAGAAAGAACAGTGAGTACTGTATAGAAAAAGGAACCAGGCTCGGTGGCTCAGCCTGTAATCCCGCGCCTTTGGGAGGCTGAGGTGAGTGGATTGCCTGAGCCCGTGGGTTCGAGACCCACCTGGGCAACTTGGCGAGACCTCATCTCTATAATCAAAAAATCAGCCGGGCGTGGTAGTGCATGCCTGTAATTCCGGCTACTTGGAAGGCTGAGGCGGAAGGATCGCCGGAGTCCAGTAGGTCGAGGCTGCAGTGGCCGGGAACGGCCACTGCACTCCAGTCTGGGCTCCAACTCAAAAAAAGAAAAAAGAAAGAAAAAGGAAGTCAAGCACAGAAGCAGCCAGATTGGTCTAAATAATTGCTCACTTTTGATTGGCCAAACTCTGTGATGGGCACACCACAGGTTAGTCTGTCTACATATCCAGTTAGGTTACAGTTCTCTGTGTGAAAGGCTATGAAGAAACCTCTAGGTCAAATCCTGAATATGCAAGCATAAGCCCAATACAGGCTAAACTTAATTTAACAATTATCTAAGCCAAGCACGGTGGCTTAAGCCTGTAATCCCAGCCCTTTGGGAGGTGGAAGCATGAGGATCGCCTGAGTCTAGGAGTTCGAGACCAGCCTGGGCAACTTGGTGAGATCTCATCTCTACAATAAACCAAAAAATTAGCCGAACTTGGTGGTGCATGCCTGTAGTTCCAGCTACTTGGGAGGCTGAGGCGGAAGGATCACCTGAGTCCAGCAGGTCAAGGTTGCGGTGGCCATGAATGTCTGGGTGACAGAGTGAGACTCCAACTCAAAAACAAAAACAAAATAATTATCTTTCCCTCTCGTGCTTCCCAGACCAGCCAGCGGTTCCATCCACACCGTGCCAAGGCAGAAATGGAATGTTAAATACCATACCTCACCTTCCCGTAACTCTCAGCCCACCAGGCAGACACCAAGTCCTACCAGTTCTACCTACCAAATATCTCTCCGTCCATCAGTTCTCTCCATCTCTGCCACCACGATGGCCCAAGCCACAATACCCGCAGCCTGGATTCCTGGAGTATCTCCTAACCCGCCTCTAGTCTCTTCCCATCACACCCCACCAGTCACCTGTGCATTCTCCACATGGTAGCATGAGGGATCTTCAAAAATTACAAAGTCAGCCATGCCAGAAACCTCTGATGGCTCCCCATCCCCCTAGGCAGTGGGTCAAACTCATGACCACGGCTTGCGTGGACGTGCCCTTGATGAGTTACCTCACTCAGGCCTCCAGCAACCAGAAATGTTTCATTTCCTTTTACATCCACTCCTTGGTTCATACAATTTCTCTCATGCAATGTCTCTCACACAAGAAGCTCTTGATAAATATTTTTTTTTCTTTTTATATGTTTAGGACATATAAGTGCAGATTTCTTCATCGCATCTATTGTGTAGGGGTGAAGTCTGGGCTTTTGGTGAACCCATCACCCGACTGGTGAACACTGTACCCAACAGGTCATTTTCCAAACCTCAGTACCTTTCACTCTCCCTTGATAAATATTTTCTGATTGACCCTCTGAATACATGAATAACTGAAAGAATAAATGAAAGAATGAATGAGCTGAGCACTTAGCTTCTCTATGTTGGGATTCTCTAATGGCCTTTCTTATTTTTTAATTAATTTTGTTTGTATTTTAAAGAAGCAGGATACAGTTCAGGATTAGGTACAGAAGTGGTCATCATAAGGTGAAGCTTGGTCCTCCCATGGGTCCTCATTTCGCCTGATTTGGGATCA